AGGAGGACAGCATAGGCTGGCAGCAGACCAGGCTCCTAACCTCTCACGCAACGCTGTTGCTATTGATTAATCATCCACCTGAAGGTGGCAAGATGCTGAAGGAGAAGGGGAAAGGTGGAGAGATGGGAGAGACGGTTGACATTTTCCAAGTGCAAGTTTTCTAACAGGCTGGTGGGAAGCCAGAAAGGCACAAAAAAGTCACAACTGTTCTGCCTCTGGCCATACAAGAACTTACTCTGGGCCTGGAGTTGCCATTGTTTACAACATGGAATGTGCACATGGGAATTCAGACACAGTCAGGGTGTCAAATAGATGAGGGAGCTCCAGTTAAACAAGGGAAGGGCTAACTAGGGAGAGGAGAGTGAAAATATACCACCCTGGAGCATGACATCAGGCTCTGCTCAGTTCCCAATTTGCCTGGAACTCCTTTGAGCTTACATTGGGTTTCTGGACTAGTGAGCTCACCACGTCACACAGTCCAGTATTTAATCCAAGAATTCATTGTGATTTATGAAACGGTAACACCAGGATTCACAATTATGCAAAGCGACATGAAAAGGCTGGCTTTAAGCATGGTGGCCTTTGACCTAGACGGATATGCAAAAAATCATAGTTGTCTTTGTTAAAGGCTCAAAGTGCTCCTACCTGCCTTCAAGGGGGACTAGCAGAAGGTTCAGAGTTTGGGGAGGGAACAACAAGAACTCACTGGGGGCTTTTGAAATAAATGCTTTCTCATTAACCGTGTTTGAACAATCAGTGTGTCTGGGATGAAGGGGTGATGACACCCTCCTCGCCCCCAAACTGGAGAAGTTAGTGCTGTTCTGCTCCCGCATTTTTGGATGCCTTCACAAGGAACGCCCACGGTTAGATTTCACTTGTTATGTAAGTGACTCTTCTCAAATGTAAATATCCCTGGGAAAGTTAAGAGACTCAGCAATTCACATATTACTGTGAAATGGTTTAACCTCACAGCTTTTCTCCTGACACCTCTTGATCATGGGACACCCAGAGGTTTTCAAGGGGCTGGGGGGAGAGGGTAGAAGGAAATAGAAATGGATTATGTATTTACTTAGGGCATGCCGCAGTGGAGAAGACCTTAGGTGAGATGTGAATTAGGGGTGATGAAGGAAGAGACTGGAGTAGAAGGGTCGTTAGAGAGTAAAAGCAGTGCTCTACAAGGAAGATGGAAAGGTTCTAAAAAATGGTGTTGTTTTGCTCTTTGAACATATGTCTGGGATGGGTGTGTGTATTTAACTATTTGAAAAATCATACTCCACACATCGGGGTGAGTGAAGCAGGGCTGGGGCTAGGGGTTGAACCAGAAACAATTTTAAGCCCCTTCCTCTCTTAAGAGGCTACTCTATCCTCTGCCCAAGAGGCCTTCCTACATAACTGTAGCCTTTTCTGCAGGAAAAGCAAAAGGACAGCTGCTGTTGACTTAATTACATCCAATTTGGGTGGTATTTATCGAGCCTTATGTGTAAGGCACCTTCCTAATAACGTCCCAGCCCTACACCACACTCGCCCGGGCTCCCCCCTCAAGAAAAACCCGCCACAGGATTCCCAGGCGGTGATGAAAGCCTCCTCCGTTCATCAGAAGAGGCCAGGCCTCCAGGTGGCCACGGGAGGCCCCAGCTGCCCTGGCATTTTGTTTTCCCTCCATATGATTGTGAGGCTGACACTGTGCAGGTTGCTACAGAACAGCTCAAGGCAAATGTGAGTGCACACGAGAGCGTGTAAAGCGTGTTTTTTTCTTCTTCAAAACGAGGGAAGAAGGGAAAACAGACAAAGAAGGACCTTCCTGCTGCCTTTATGATTTTTTTTACTTTTATTTTTCTGTTTCCCTGAGCACTCGGAATGGGGAGTATTTGCTTCTGTATTTCAATGAACTCAGGGCACACGAATAAAACGAGGCAAGAGAACACTTAAAAAAAAAAAAAGCGATCGCCCCCAATTGCATCAGCTGCACATGGAAAGGAAGTAAAAGAGGATGGGTTTCCAGGGCATCTGTGGGAGAGGAGACAAAAGCGCCCTCCTCGTCGCTGCAAATGGTGCCTTTCCCAAATTGCTTTTCAAGTTTCCCTCCTCGAGATGTGAAATGACTCCGCCTGAGCACTCTGTGCGGGATCGATGGTGTTCTCAATGCAGCAGCTTTCCGCGGGGCTGTGGCCAGGCTCCTGGGGAGGTGAACCGGAGAGCGGGGAGGGGAGAGCACGCCGAGGCCGAAGCACCTTGCTTTCTTCTGCTTGAGAAACGCTATTCCAAAAATGGCTCCAGAAAATGAAAGCCGGGGGTTGGGGGGCGGGGGGGAGGCGCGAGGGAGGAGAAGCGAAGAGAGAATGAAAACACATTTTCTTTTTTAAAAAGTGGGAATTATTTACTTCACCTGCAAAGAAGAAATTGCCCTGAAAAGGAGGGAGAAAAAGCCGGAAAGTACCCCAACCCCCCAACTGGGCTGAGTGCTGGGACAAACAAACAAAATGACTGATGTGCCCGGCAAACCGTCTTGGGGTGGGGGAAGGGCATGAATAGAGGCGCAGGAAGAAAAGCGAAGCCAGGCAGTGTTCGCCGCCGATTCCAGCAGAGGCTGCGAGCAGCGAGGGGCCTGGGCGATGGGATCCATAATTGGCTAACGAATAATAAAGCCCAAAATTGGATATTAACAGCAATTAGTTTCTTCAGAGGCACTGGGGGAAAGAGCTGCGGAAAACCCCATTGGGCCTGAAAGCTGGAGCAATATGAAATTAAACCAGTGTCTCAATGAAATGGGAATAAATATTGCCGCATCCATCTGCGTGAGTGGGGGAAAGCCAAGGGGCGAGGGGAACCCCCCTGTGAAGTCCAGGTGCACTCCCAGGGTGTCAGAAGCTTCCGGTGCCACGACCTTTGTGAGGCCCGATCTGGTCCTGACCTCTGGCCTCTGGAGGCCGACCGCCCCTTCCCTCCCCTCCCCCTTTCCTGGGAACACATGACCTTGAGACCAGGGCTCTGGAGGTTATTCCAGGGCACTGGCCTGTGAAGCCAGAAGGGCCTTACATCACAAACTCTGCACCCTGGTGGGCCCCAGCCGATGAGCCCAAAGAAGGAATGGAATTCTTTTAAAAAACAGAGCCGGTGTCCAGTCCTTCGGAGCAGCGGCCGCACCTCTTCGGGCTGGGACGGGAGCTGGGGTTTGGAGGTTCCGGAACACAGAACGAACCTGTGTCTGTCTGGTCCTCTCTTTCTAACCGGCTCCGAAGCGGCCCATCCCCTCTGGAGCAGGATGTGGACCAGCGTTTGGATTGAAGGAGATACGCGTGGGTTCCTTCTGGGGAGAGGGATTTGCTTTGGCTCCTTAGAGAGCGATGGGGGGGGGGGGGGGGGGGGGTGGGTGGCTGGGTCCCCAGGGCAGTGGCCCGCGCCCTGGCCCTGTCGCTGAGGGTTAGGCGGACCGAGGAGGTTGGGTGGTGTAAAAAGGAGCCAGGGCGGAGGCACGGAGGGCGAAAAATCCTCCTCCCTATTCCCCACACCACCCCCAACGTGCTTTCATCCTTGCGTTCTGCGGGAGGGCAGCCAAGGAAGCGCTAAGAAGTCATCCTCTCCCCACCTTCTCCCTGGCGGGCCCCGCGCAGCCGCTCCTTTGCTCGCACATTCGGAGGCTTTCTGGGGTGCGGGGTGATGACCTCCGGGCGCAAGGTCGTGTTGTGTGGATGAGAAGGTCAGGAATGGGGAAAGGGGAGAAGGACAGACGGCTCCGGGGCCCGGCCCTCTCCCTCAGAGGCCAGGCCCGGAGCAGGGAGGACGCGGCGTCTAGGCCGAGGCCTGCGCTCGGCTCGGCTCGGCTCGGCTCGGCTCGGCAGCGCGGGGAGGGAGGACATTCATTCGAACAAGGCCTTTGGTTCGGCGCCTGCCTTTCTGAAGCCAAAGATGCACCCCGCCCTGACCGCCTCCCCCTATTCCTAACCCGGCTCCCTGGTCACGTCTAAAGTTTGTCGCCAGGTGTCTATGTGGCGCAGAGTGACCTTGGGGAAACGGAGATGCGCGGACTCTCCGGGGGCTGTCCTTGGTCCTTGCCCTTGGTGGCCCCGCGCCGAGGGCACCTTGCACCTCGTATCAGTCCGAAGCTTTGAGAAGTGATGGATGACCCAGGTCTTGGGGGCCCTACATTTCTTGATTGGGGCAAGAAAACCTTAACCAAAGCTGGAAAAATAGGAGCCAAGAAAGCAAGGGAAGCCAGCGCCTGTTCCTCTTCATCTTACTCAATTTAGATGTCTCAGGGCATTCGGAGAAAGAAAACAAAGGCTCATGCGCATTGGAAAGCCCGGCCACTGGGAAGCTGGGAGAGGGGACGTGGGCAGGGTGGGTGGCAAGGGCGAGCCGGGCACCCAACCCTGGCTCAGGGGCAGGACCCAAACACTCTGATCGCCACCGTGAACCGCTTAAAAAAAAAAAAATTTATACGAAGCAGCAAACTTAACTTCCTGAGAAAATATTGCTTTCTGGGTCCCATGGTGAAGAACTAAGTAAATTGGATTTTAATTTTAAATAAACCTCCCTCACTTTTGAGAGGGAAAGCCCTTTGTGATCCTGAGGTTTACTTTTTGAGCTTATGCAATGCATTGCAGCGTGACCCAGGTCGTTATCCTCTTCTTCTTCTTCTTTTTTTTTTTTTGTGGGGGGTAACATTTCCATTTTAAGACAAAAGAGGTTAAGAAAATGAACAGGTGAACCGATTGAGAATTGCTGACACTTCCTTTCTGACCTGGAACAGTCCTTGCTCTCGGGAGGGCCTGCTTTCTTTCCAGGCCATCTAAATTGGGAGCAGGTCTCCCAGGCCTCTGGCAGACCTGCATTCTGTGGCGCAGGACAGAGCACACTGGTCCCCATAAAGCCCATCTGAAGTCCTTTCTCCTTTCCTACGTCTACACTGGAGATGCAATGAAAGATTACATCTCTGTATTCGAAAATTGAAGTCAAATTGAGTAAGACTTGGCAAACACACCCAAAGAAAGCATTGTCGATTGGAAGGAAAAAAAAAATCTTTATTAGGTATCATCGTTCTCATAATTGTTATTATTGACATATTCATCGCCGTGAATCAGCCAGCCAAGCCTCACACACACGGGCTCCAGCACAGCCCTCAGCTGCTGTTGACTCATGGGGTTCTGAAACCACCCACAGGATAGGGGAGGAAGGGCGGCTCCATCTGTCCCGGGGAGAATGCTGTGCAGCTGCCCCCAGAGAACTCCATTCTCAGGTTGGAACAAGGGTTGGGGGTATTATGTAAGTTCAGTCGAGGGAAGGAGAAAATTTATTTCCCTGTGGAGACAGTATCAATGGTTGGATGGAGGTGTGTGTGTGTGTCCGTGTGTGGTTAAATGCTTTTCTGTTAATCTTAACAAGGGCTATGGTTATGAGGGGAAAAAAAGTATGTATGAATTGTGTGTGTGTATATATGAGCATCGGCCTGCTGAGAAATCACCGCTCTCCCAAACATTTCTCTAGCTAAGGTTCTTCATGCATCCACAGTTAACTGTCCACACATTTTACACCCCGTGACAGAATTGATAGAGGAATTTACCTTTGTCTCTTGATTAATTTTCTTTCTGCTTAAACAGAGATTTGGGCCATCTCTGGCAGGGAAAGAAGAACATTTCCATTTTTTTTTCTACTCTGATATATTTCTGAATTCATCTTTAAGTATCTGGTACATTCACCTTGAGGACCATAATGATGGTACTGTGTGTGAGCCAGTAGGGCCTTCTTAACGTATTGTCAGTAAACTGCCTCCGACATGTTCTATACTGAACAAACCATATACGTCCCTCTTCACTTAAATGGTAGGATATCATTAGGGGGGTTCAAATGTGTAAGGGGAAAGATGGCATTGAGAGTTAAATAAATGCCTTGAAAAAGCAGAGATCTTTGTCTCTTACGTAAATATCGCAGACAAATAGGCCCCCAATATAGGAGAAGGGAAGACGCCAGGACTGACCTTCACTCCAAAACCTCTATTTGGAAATCACAAAAGGGGCCTTGGAATTACACAGGGGGCAGAGTGGTACATTCGTCTCTGCCGGCCATTAAAGTCCCCACATAAAAACACATTGTGTAACGAGACCTGGTGAGCACAGGACAATCCTCACACACATTAAAGCTTTCTGAAGCAAGAGTTTACATAAGTCATAAAAATATGCCCCTCCCATTGCAGATTACCGGCAGCAGCAGGACCCTGGCCGCCTTGTCCATGGTGCCTGCGGTTTACGCTCTCACGGAGAAGTGTGTTAGGTTTCCATCTAAAAGGGACATTACTTGAGCAGGCACATCAGCAAAGGGCGCAGCCATGTCTGATGGAATTACGGGGAAGCAATTACGGAGACAAGGCTCCCTAATGTGGACAGCTGAGGGGCAAGCGGTTGGTCATCAGAGGCGAGCAGCCTCTCAGTGAGGACGGAGGGGAGAGGCCAGGGAATCTACACCCCAAGGAGGCACTGTTTGGAGGGCGGTCTATTTTGAAGGCAAGGCTGCCAGTGTCTCTTAGGACAGCCCTGGCTAAGGCTCAGGGGCCAGTGAAGCTGCTCTCTCTTCTGCCCTCCAGCTAAACTTGCCTTCTGGGGCTTGAGGAACAGCCCGCATACCCACAGTTTGCATGGTGTGAACCGCCAGCCTTCTCTGCAGGGGTGAGCAGTTTGCTGCACCTTTCTGCAGACCCAGAGAAGGTTCTGGAAATGTCTAGGTGGGGTCCGGCACACTTCACCTCACCAGACACCCTCTTAGAAGGGAAAAGGAAGAACCTAAGAAATAATAGTTACACAATGATTGGCACATAAATATTTGGGAGGAAATGAGGCTAGGATATCTTTGAATACGAATTTATTTAGTGGGTTAGGCTGAGGCTTTGGAGAGGAAAGAGCTCCTCTGTAAGCTACAGCTGAGCCTCTTCGGCCTTGATTACTGTGTAAGTAATCAAACGAAAATCCTAAGCATCCTTATGGCGGTGGCCTTGCAAAGACAGGCCTCTGCAGCTAAGGGCATGGAGGGGGGCAGGAGGGGAGGAAGCGGAGCAGCAGCCTTCCTGGGTAGGAAGATCCAGCTCTTGGCCTCCTTTCTCTGCAGGGACCTGCCCCTCCTCCATGTTCTCCACCAGAAAATTAATGCGTTTAGGTCTTGCCGCCCTCCATCTCAGATTGGGGGAGGGGGGTGTCACTGCAGAGCAGGAGATGGAATGGGGCTGTGTGAAGGGGTCCCTCGGACCAGCTGCTTTAGGTCTAGTGATGGGAAGGTCCCATTGGGGAAGCAGGTTCTGCAGAATGAAGGAGGGTTGACACTTTGCATTTCCTGATGGTTTCTTTCAAAAGTCTTTCCTCAGAGCCTCACTTGTACACATTCTGTTTTTCCTTCTGTTAGGATTTTAAAAGGAATGTCTCTCCCCTCCCCCTCCACTCGGGTACATGTAGGTTACTGCGCCTCTCCCTTCCTTCGCATCTCTTGGATCCCTGCCTAAAACTGCAATTACAGCCACAAGGAGGAAGTGAGATGCTCCCGAGAGCCCTGGGCATGCTTTCAGCCCTGATGGAGCCTGTGGACCCACCAGGAATTCGTTCCTTTCCCCCCACACCCCAATGACTTCCTTAAGCTAGCCAGGTGCCCACAGCTCTACAGCAAAAGGTGACAAACATCTCCCTCCGCCCTTCCCACTGGCTTCCTCCCTCCCCCAGACCTCAAGCCGAACAAAATATATCCGCAGTCTAAGCCCCAGCACAGCCGGCCAGTCTTCTGGATGCCAGATTATTATAATAATTATTTTTTAAAAGAGCAAACCAAAATCTCAGCCCGGGACAAAAACACAGCCGCGGAGAAAAGTGTCCACCCGCGTACAATGCCCCCCGAGCCTAGAGAGAAAAATATGCACACCGAAGCACTCCGCAATGCGCTCACAGGCACACCGCACCCCAATCTTCCCGCCCCGCCCCCTCCCGCCCGCCTTCGGTGCTTGCACAGATCTGCGGGCAGCTTCGGTTTCTCTCCCGAGTCCGTTCGCATCGCTAAGCCCCGGTCTGTCCCCCATCACACACCTCCCCGCGCCCAGGGCTCCGGCCGCCGGGAGCCCGGGCCCCCTCCAGCCTGAATCCGCAGCGCTGGGCTCTGCGGAGGGCGCCTCGGCTCCTCCGCGGCTCCTTCCTTGGCGGGTCCTCGCCGACCACGGCGCTCAGCCAGCCCCATTCTTGGCATTCACCGCGTGCCTTAATTGTATGGACATTTAAATCAAGGTCCGCTGTGAACACGGAGAGAGAGGCCATTCTCCTGAGGAAGGCGAGGAGGAAGGAAAGGCGAGGAGAAATAGAAGGGGGTGGGAAGAAGGTGGAATGGAAAAAACAAAAGACAAAAAACACAACACACACACACACACACACACACACAAACCAACAACCAGGGAAAAATAAGTAGAAAGCGGCGCGGTGCGTGCGCACTGACAGCGGGGGAGAGGGGTGGGTGGGGGCGGGGAGCGCCGGGAGGAAAGGACCACAGCATCCTCTCCGGCGCAGCTCCCCCAATCGCACAGACAATGAGATAACGGCGACGTCTTCCAGAGGCTCTTTGTTCTCCCCCATCCTTTCGGGTCCAGGCCTTTTTTTTTTTTTTTCCTGCAAAGCGGAGGGGGTGGAGGGTGTGAGTGGAAGTGGGAGACGAAGGAGTGCCACCCCCCGTGTTAATTACCCGGACCCCCCTCGCCCCTTCCCCACGCCTCCCCTGCAGCCCCAGACAATGAATAAACATCCACCCCACCTCGCCCCAGCGCGGCCAGCCCTACCCACCCATCTCGCCGTCACCTTGGCCTAGGAAACTGGACGGGGGGTTGGGAGGGTCAAGACCAGAGCAGGGGGACCAAGAGGGCAGCGGGGGCTGGACTGCGGCTGCCCCGGCCGGGCAACCACCGCCGCCCTTACCTCGCCGGCCGAGTCCTGGCACAGCCGGGCCGGGCGTGCGGCTGAGGGAGCCGCCGTGGTCCGCGGCAGGGATCCGGGGAGCCAGCCTTCCGGAACTCGCCTGCTGCAGTCCTCTCTCAGGTCCCAAGTGATGGAGGGGAAAGAGAGAAAGGAGAGAGGAGAGAGAGAGAGAGAGAGAGAGAGAGAGAGAGAGAGAGAGAGAGAGAGAGAGAAGAAGAAGAAGGAAGAAGAAGAAGAAGAAGAAGAAGAAGAAGAAGAGGAGGAGAAAAAAAAACCCATAAGAGCGAGGCCCATCTGGCCCCTCATCAGCTTTGTCAAGTCTTGCATACGCTAAAATGCTAATGACCTAGATAGCTCATGCAAAATGCAGCAGGGAGAGAGGAGGGAGGGAGGGAGGTAGGAGGGAGGAAGAGAAAGAGCGAGGGAGGGGCAGAGCTAGGGAGGAGACCGAGGGGGGGCAGGGAGAGAGGGAGAGGGGGGGAGAAGAGAGAGAGAGAGAGAGAGAGAGAGAATGAGAGATATATATATATATATATATATATATATATATATATATATATGTCTTGGAAACACCCCTGCCCCTCTCCCCACCCCATCCCAAACTGTCAGCGGGTTTTACCAGGTGAGGGGCGGGCGGAGACTTAAAAGGTCACTCGCATCTATTGCGGCTGCCTCCCCGGATCCAAAAAAAGGGAGCGGGCCGGAGGAGGAGAGCCCCCAAAGCCAAAGGGATAATAAGATATTATTCGAAGCCCCCCTCCCTGCCCTCCTCCACTTCTCCACTCTGTTTACACACACATCCCAACGCCTCCTGTGTGTACGCAGACATATCACATTTTCATCAATTTCTCAGCCGCCGTGACAGCCACCCGTAACCTCATCCCCAGCAAAACTCATATTGGACCTCCAAAAAGGGCTTTACCCCCTTCACCCCCTTTCTTTTTGCAGTCCGCTCTAACTGGCCCATCCCCTTTCGCCTCTCTCTCGCCCCTCTACTCCCTCAGCCCTCCAGACAACCTCTCCGGCTCCCACTTTTCCCTAAACCTTCTGCCCCCCGGTTTCTTCCCCAATACTTGGCTCTCCACAAGGGGAGTGGGAAAGCGAAGTGAAGTCTATTCGATCTCCCACAATCCAGCTCCCTTTTCCAGAAAAACAATCCCAACACCCCCCCTCCTCCCCCAACACTGGCACTGCCCAAGCAGACCAAAAGGACAGATAGAAGTCAATCTGAGTATACCCTCCGAGGTCCCTTCGGGGTCGGAGATCTCGCGAATTCCCGAGCCGGCGCTCTCTCTCATCCCTACTCGCCCAACTCCGAGCGCTTTGTCCGGTGGCACCGCTCAAGGTCTTCCCCTTTTTGTTCTTCTTTCCTAAGAGGCTGGTCGCCGCAGCCCGTAGCGCTTCAGCCCAGCCGAACGAAAGGCGGTGGTAGATCTACTGGAATAAAAGGGACCGGGAGAACACACACACACACACACACACACACGGATGACAGAGGGAGGGGTGCGGAGAGGAAGGCGCATCCAGGGAGCGGCAGCCAGAGGGAAGGGGCGGGCGGCGAGAAGGCGCCCGCGGTCCCTCCACCTAGCAAGAGGAAATGAGAACCGTGATAAGGAGCATCATCATCATGATAATAAAAAAAAAAAATTCTGAATCTCTCTTTGGTGACCCAGAGCTGGCGGGCAGGAGGGACCGCACCGCTGGCGGCGGCCGCGGGGGGAAGGAGGGAGAGGAGCGCAGGAGCAAAGGTGGTGGCTGCAGGACCCTCCGATGCATAATAATAACGCGCAGCGCGAGTTGCGGCTCAGCCTGGAAATCCAGCCCTCTGCGTGAACTCGCGTCGAGTGGGGATTGCAGGGGATGGGGAAGGGGGGGGGGAGAGGGAAGAAGGGAGGGGACGGAGGGGGAGAGAGAGGCAGGCAGAGAGGGACAGAGAATTTGGAGCCTTTGAAAGGATCCTTACCAAGCCCTCATCTCGTTCGCCGTCCTCTTTTTGGGTGCGGCCGATCTCCTTTTTATAAAAAATGATTATTCCTTTAACGGATTATTCAGCTAAAAGAAGCCACATCTGCTGACTGTACCGAAAACAAGAGGATTAGGAGCCGGTCCGCAGAGCCCGGCCCGCAGCCCCCCACCCCCTCTCTGCACCAAGCACACGTCATTCTCACTGCCTCCGGGTACCTCCCTCTCCTCGCCCGCCCGGGGAGAGCTGTGCCAAAGAAAATGCGGATTTGGGGGAAAGTGAGAAGTGGGAGCGCTCGGAAGAGCGGGAAAGCCAAGGCTGGAGGCGGCGATGTGCACCCCCACCCTCACATGCGCTTCCGTTTTTACCCGTTTCTATCCTGGGAGAAGGGGGAGCTTTTTCCTCCGTGCCCACACGCGCCACACTCTCAGGGGTCCGTGCCCTGAGCCTCCCCACCCCCCACCCTTCTCACGTAAATCCGGAAGCACCAGTTCCAGGCAGACTCCCCTCCTCCCCCCACGGGACTCGGGGCGTCAAGCTACCCCTGGGCCCACCGCCCCTTTCTCTCCTCCTTCCCCTTCTTCCTCCCCGGGAGCTGCGGCACCGCGGCTGGTCCCTCCCTGCCTCTCCCACTTTTGCAAATGGAGTTGGGGGACGGGCGGAGGGGGACTGGGAGGGGGGGCTCAGGGCACCCGCACTTCGCCTTCTGCTTCTGGACCCCAAGGTTTCAGAGAGGTAGTGAGGGGATGATGCGGCGGATGCGGTTGACATCCCTGCGGAGAGCGCGCGGCTGCCCCGCCGCTCCGAGGAGCCAAGCGCCTTTGCATCTCCTCACCTCCATCCGCCCCCCCTCCCCCCACCTCTCCGCCCCAAGCCGGCGTCTGGGCAGGACAGCGGCGGGGGGTGGGAAGAAGGGTAGGTGGAAGAGGGGTTGAGCAGGCCCATCCCCCGCACCCCTGCAGTCAAGGTGAACGTGAAGGAGAGTGGGCGCGCGTGCCCGCGTCTCCGAATGCGTGCGCGCGCCCCGCCCGGCTTCCCCCCAGCCCGGCCCGCGGCGCCCCGCAGGCCGCCCGGGCCAGATGGACGCTGGAGATTAGAGGCACAAAGTGCGTCTCCACGGCCGGCCGCCACCCGTCCCGCGTACATGGAGGCTCACTTCGGGGAAGCGCCTTTTGTTAGAGAGGTTTTGGCTGTGTGGTGTGTGTGTTTTTACCCCCGAGAGCACGGAGTTAGCCATAGGCCTTCAGGAAGCGCTCAGAATGAATCTGCCCATAAGAACAAAACCCTAGGACACCCCCGGACCCGATTTCCCTCCTCCCCCGACCCCAATAAGAACCCAGCGCCAGCCAGGAGAAAGATGCGGTGTTTCCGAAGACCCTCGTTCTGTAGCTGCGGGAGTCAACCCCAACCCCGCAGATGTCTGTCCTCCTGCGCAGGGCCCATCGCTGCTTTTCTTTCCTACTCCAGATTTTCTTCTTTGATGCCTGGGAGGGGAAAAAAAAAATCTTAAGTGTTTTTTGAGCAGCGCTAGATTCTGAGCGAGGAGAAGATGGAGAGGAAGACAAGCCCCTGACAGCTCAAAGCTGGTCCTCGCATCAGACGGCCCGCGCGCGCCACGGCCAGAGCGGTCCGGCGGGGGTCGCAGCGGGCACGCGCCCACCCACGGGGCCGTCCGGATGGGGACCCTGGGAGCGGCCCCGCTCGCGTTCGAGGCCGTTTGGTTCTTGTCCATTGTTGGGCATGTGTCCCGATAAAAGAATGACAGCGAATTCAAAACCTCTGTGCACTAGCTTTTTGTCTCCCACAAAGTACCATGAAACGCTTAAAAAAAAAAAAAAAAGCCGTTTTTGTACATTCGAAGAAGCGGAAAGCTTTGGTTTAAGTTGAGGGAGAGAAGTAGAGAGAGATAAGAGAAAGGAGAAGGAACGAACATAAAACATCCTTGCAATGCATTATTAATTTCTGAAGACTGCAGTTAGTTGGAAAGAGTCATCATCTGGGACTATTTATTTATTTATTTATTTATTTCCAGGGAAAACTTAACATTCTGATAACCTTCCCCTCAAACTAAAATACCTTTCTGGTGGAAAAAAAGACGACACGGGCGGTCGCTTAGCTCAAGACTTGCACCGTGTTCATAAAGGTTTTAGGTGTGGGACTGTTTGTGTTCTTAGTCACTCAAGATTCCTGAAGCAGACTTTTCCCGAACCCTTTGGGCTTGGAGGGAGATGGGGCTGCGACCAGAGTTTCAGGTTGTCTTGACCGAAGGGCGTCAGGACAGACTGCCGCTGTCCTCTCCAGTTTTTCTTCAAGGCCTGGTTTTGTTTGGCTGGAGGACGGTCTCAGAGCCGTCCTCCGGGCTGTTGCTGCAATGCAGGCTATTTGCTCTCTCATCTTGCGGCATGGGGGGAGGGGAGCCGGCGATGGTTTTGTAACAGGCTCTGCAGGCCTGAGTGGGAACGCCTTAAATGATGAGCCCCGGGTTAAAAAAGAAAACGGGGGAGAGGGGTGGAGGGTGGGGGGTGGGGGATGAGGAGGAGAAAGCAGCTGATGCTGAATTAATAGTTAGAGAAGACCCCTGGGGCTTTCTCCTATGAGGGGTCAGGAGTCCTTTCCCCTCCTCCCCGTCACAGATTTTCATATCTGTTTTTAAACAGTCTGATCAGATGCTGGGGACATTTGTGATGGCTTCTTAAAACCTAAACCCTGGGGCTTAAGAGCTGTCTGCACTCCTGATCAAACTCACCCCAGATACTCACACGTTAAGAAATTACATTCTAAAACCTTCCCAAATCCGATCGACTGGGCTGTTTGGGGCCCATATGGCTAGACAGCTGTGCTGCTCCACGTGAAAAGACACCATTGCCCCTCTGATGGTATAAAGTGGGGGCTCCCCAGAGAGCTCAGACATGACCTAAGTATTAGCTTAGCCTAGGGTGAAAACTGAGTTAAATCTCTTCCTTCTTGGAGGTTAAAATAAAGACAACAACAAACATCAAAAGAGGCGTACTTTTGAATCCATTGTCAATTGCATGCCTCCCGGCTGGTCCCACCAAAGGAAGGAACACACGGGAGAAATAAGCTCTCTCCGACTTACCGCGAGCAGGACGCGAGGTAAATGGAAGACACAGGAGATTGGAAAGAAATATATTATTTGCCAAGTGTACCATGTGTCGGTGACATTTGTGGTTCCCTGTTCAGAGGAGCAGGGCTCTGACCTCAGCCGATGCCTCAGTGTTAACCATAAAGAAAGGCCATCAGAGCGCAATTTCCATGGTGAGAAGACGAAACCTTGCTTTAAAAAGAAAAGCCCATTATGAAATGCTGCCGGATTTAATTTTTAATACGATGGCGGATCCTCTAACGCATTCCTTGCTAGTGTTTGCATTCAGGAGGAGGGATTCATTATGTGGCAGAAATCAAAATAACCTAACACTCTGCAGTGCTTTTAAATGTGTTCCTAGGTTGGTTTGTGTGTGTGTGTGTGTGTGTGTGTGTGTGTGTGTGTTTTAAAGGTGTCCCAAATAGAATATTCTA